TTTCCGCACAACTCTGGCCGCCCAAATTAACTTAAAAGGACGAGCAGGTCGATCGGATGGAGCCGATTGTGTTTTTCTTCGACGCCACCTGCCTTTTCTTTTAAAAAGAACAGCAGGTTTCAGGCGCAGTCGACTCCATTTGTTTTTCCGCCTCTGTTTCTGTTTGGTAGTTTCAAAATTCGTTTTGACGGAAACGTCATGCAAAGGTTCGTTTCGTCGTTTTATCAAACGTGAAAGAAACTTCGTGAGGGTGCTGGATCCACAACACAGCCAAAAAGTGGAGAGATCTCATTCGAAAAGGAGGAAGAACACCGGAATCCAAAAGTGGAACAGAAATCCGTACTCCCAAAAAGACAGACTAAACAAAGACAAGTTCCACCTTGTGCTTGCGGTCCATGCCACCTCAGCGTCACAAACGCGATGTGTCAGTTCTCCATGGAACAGCTGCTCAGGCACCGCGTGAGCCATCAAAGCGCTATGCCCAAGTTTGGTTGTAGGGCCAACGTCAGCACCACTCGCATGAATGCACGCGAGGACGGCCGGCGCCGGAGCTCCATGAGCATAGGGATCTAAGCTAGAGAAAGCTACTTGGGAGGCCCAGGGGGGGGGCCGTGTGATTCATGCAGATAGCCGCATAGGCAGAATTCGTGCAAGGGGCAGTCAAAGCAGAAGCAGCAGGCCAGCCAGCGATACAGGTCAGCACCAGCAGCTGGAAGAGCCCGGGCCACTTCTGGCCGCATCCAATTAGGCTTTTTATTTTGTTTTGCGCATTTTGTATCTTTTTTGGACTCGGCCATTCAAGATGGCTCTCAGTCGTTTGTTCTCTCTGCATATTTTGTCCTTTTCTTTTTTGTTCTTTTGGTGGATCCTCAGATCTCTTGAATTCTTTTTTATTCTCGTGGCAATTTTCTTGCTGACAGGACCCCAGTAGGGTCCGAATTATCGCGACCACTTTGCACCGAGCGTACTCGGCCCGCATCCACCGCGCGGAGGTGTAGTCCAGGATGCTGACCTGAAAAATCTTGATCTTCAATCTTCCATTGACAAAATGGTGCAGGGATGACCTCTCTGACTCTGGTGGGCCCAAAATTAAAGGTTGGACCCTTCATTGCGGCCCCACCTCTCACAGGCCTCGGGAAGCTGCTTTTCTTTCCAGCGTAGTGTCTGTCTGTTTGTGTGTCTGCAGGAATTGAGTTGATGTGATGTGTGCCAGTGCCTGAATATTATCATCCCTTCGCACGGGCACCGCACGCAGCACTGAACGCACACACGGGCACGCCCACCGCACGGAACGGCACGGGCACGCAAAACGACCCCTTTATGCAAGAAATTCTTGCGAAGGCGGTGAGCAATGTAACCCATGGGATGTGGCATTCCGTTTTCTCTCCAATCTTCGACAGAGCACTGAAGGCACATCTCAATTGTCTGAGAGTATTGATCCGGAAGATGATACTGTCTTGATTGGTCAGGAATGTCATCTTGAAGACCAAGGGCTGTGTACCACCGCTGCAGCAATGCCCAACCACACAAATGTGGGACAAAAGCTGTCTGCTCGCATTGTACTTCAATTCTGTGGGGAGCAATATCCAGAAGGCGGGCAACCAAGAACGTAGCTCTTGTAACGAGGTGATCAGGCATCTGAACCATAACAACTCTGGATTGATCTCCTTGACGGTGGATTTCAAACGCAGCCCAGTGATTCCCAACCAGAATCGGCAGAACCGTGATTGCATTGTTGGAGATTTGAAATTCCTGCCTGTCATCTTCAAAGTCAGCCTGCGAAGGGTTCCATAGAACAGGCGGCGTGAAGAGATAGTCTCGTTGACTCCACTGCAGCTGTTGAGTCATCACCAACATTTCATCTGTTGCAAGCCACCCTTGTGTGTTGCACATGAATTCGGCTCTTTGGTTGAAAGTGGCTCCTTCGCTCAGCCGAGCTGGAGGGCCTGCGGCTTCATGATGACCGCCTGCTCGAACTTCACCCTGTAGATCCAATGCATATATCTGATGAATCGACCATGGGTCCCTTGTGTCTGAGGGACGAGGGACAAACCGGTTGTGCATCTGTATATAAAGGATCCTGCGGTTTTCTCCGAGTCATCCCAATGTACCAGGTGAAAAGCACCTGTCGGCAGCTGAACCACTCGAAATTGGTCAACTTGTTGACTGCAAATGACACACCAGAAGATATCATCAGGGCCAGAGTCTGCAACTTGCATTCGAAGGAGGTTGCCATGTGTGGCATCTCGCACAATGGATCCAACTTTTGCAATATCATCGCTGGGTCCCCAAATCTGCACATGAAAATCATGTTGTGGATGGAGCACAATCAGTGAAGCTTGCTTTGGTTCGGCACATGGATGAAGACCATCACACAACTTTGATATATCTCTGAACCATGGAGAAATGATGATGTCATCGAACTGTGCTGTGCCGGGAATATGAATATCAGACTCCAGCACACGGTACGGAGCCGTGGGGGAGATGCTGATGATCTCGATCTCAGGTTCATTCTCAAGAATGCACGTGCCAACAACTTTGGCAGCGAGCACAATGTCCCACTCTTTGCCTTGGGCAGCAATGAGTCCAGCTGGCATATTCATCCTGATGCGGGCATCTGCAGCACGAAGATAAAGCTGTGCCACGAGCTCAGAAGGGCCATTCCAAACTTGGGCAAAAACTTCTCCAAAGGTGACCTCAGTTGGGAGCACAACATCAAAGGCATGTGGGCCAATTGAACCCGTGCAGCTCAGTGAGGGAACGTGGAGAGTCCCAAGCTTGTCACATGATGAAATCCACAATGCAACATGTTCGGATCGGATCAAATGAACAAGACCCTCAAATTCAAACAGCACAGCATTGTCAGCATGGAGCCGAAGAGGCCAGGCTTTGCGAATGATTTGCAACGGATCAACATCAATTTGGCCTACTGCATGCAATGCGATGCCAAGCGCAAGAAGGGCATGAGGCACTGAGATGGCATTACCAATGATGCGAAATGCCTCGGCAACCTTAGTCGGAAGGACCAAGCCATTGACCGTGCCGGAGAGTGCACAGAACAATCCCGGGTCAAAGAACTCAAATCCTTCGGAAGAACGACGAAGGAATGTGTAAAGACCTCTTTGTGAGACATGGGATTGGCTCAACTGATGCTGGATGGTGTATGTGGCACACAGTGTTGGCAAGGGCTTCGAAGACGGTGGAATGCGTGCCAACAAAGTTGCTTGCTTACCTAGTTGAGCTTGGGATCGATGACTTCCATGAGGCAGCAACAGGGGATCATTGTAGACCTCAGTTTCTGAAGGGGACAGGACAAGTTGGGACCTCCAAACCGTAGGGATCCTGAACTTGTTGATCTGATCGTCCCATGGAGTCCTGGGGACCACCTTCAAGGGAAAGTTGAACCCAATGAACTGTGCCGCAACATCAACACGACACCACACAGCAAGCCACCTGGTCCTCGAATGATCGGCAATGGCATGCATTGGGGTGATCGTTTCAAGCAATTGAAAATGGGGGTGCTCAACGATATCATCGGAGCACTCCCCCACAATGCACACAGGTTGGAGGACAATGGCGAGCTCCACTGCCTCAACAAATGACCATCCATTCGGGTCGGAAAGCCCCAAATGCTTGCCCCCCCGGGACCATGATTGACATGGTGGGGACATCGTCATGCCCATGTTGGCTTGCACCCTAACAGTGTTCAAGATGGACCAGTCGGAGACGGGGCCATGAATCCCAACAAAACGAGCAGTCGGCCACTTCGTTGTCCACGAAATTGGGCACTTGTATGGAGTGAGGCCACGACGGGCAGACCAAATTTGCATCACATGTTCATCAGCATCAACTTCAAACTCTTGACTGATGCAGAAACTATCTATGGTGGAGCAAATGAAGTCGGTTGCATGTGTCCAGCCTCCATATGCTCCCGCAAAGGTGTGCATGAAGTTCCATGGCATGCATTTGTCGTAGTCAGCCCTAAAGGTGATGACAGCATCTTCACAGAAGCTCACCTGCTCCTTAGATTTGCTGACAGTGTTGCCAGCGCACGTGATCACCACTCCTGCAGCCAGTCGGATGGACCTGTCAGAAAGATGCGGGAGGGTCACAACAACTCGTGATTCATGTCCAGCAGCGGGTCCAAAACCCAAATACGGAGTGAATGGGGCCACCAACAACTCAATGCTATCAAATTGTACGTCGACCACTTCACCCACCAACACCGTTCGAGAGCCCAACGTGAGGAAGGGATCACCAGCAGTGAAGGCAGTCAGGGTATCACGGATGGAACCACGTAGGGGATCATGTAGGATACGATTTGCAGTGGCAATCGCAGCTTCAACCGCCATGGCACAAGGGCTAGATGCGGATCACGTGACACGTCTGGCCACAAGACCTCAGGGTGAGGACCTTTGGGGGTGCCTCTCGTCGACACCGACCCGTGCCGGGGAGGCACGCTACCGGCCCCGGGCGCCCGTACGCCCCAGCTTTTTGAGGCTTTGAACCCCAGCAGCTGGTTACAATGCATTACAATTCAATACAGTTGATATAATGGTTCTATGATACTCTCTCTATATTATATATCCATATATATATATATATCCATTTATCTTGCTTGTGCTCGGACTTCTTGGAAGTTTCAGAACTCAGAGCACTCAAATTCGCCACATTGGGATCCATTTCTGTGACGACCGAAGTCAGCTTGCAAGTTGGACACCTTGTATGGTGCAGTTCTGTGGTCACGGTCTTCGATAAATCCCCTAAAACGACTCCAATCTTGGAACAGATGTGTAATGTCCTTCGAAGGTTCACTAGCAATGCCCCAACCCAAAATGTGTTAACACCGTTGGACAACATCCCCCAAAAGAAAAATAGGTGTCGAGCAAACATTTAATTTAAGCAAACAACTATATAATAACAAGCCGTCGATGTGCTGGGCAATGTTCTGCAGCTTTCTTCATGCTTTCGCGACGCATCTTCCAGAAATCCGACTGGGCCTAGCAGGTACATACATCCCACCAAGAGGACCACCGCCCAGAAGAGAACTCCTCAGTGTCGGATGGGGGAGTTGGACGAGAACGAGTCGGCGAGTCGGCCCGGCGACACCGGGTGGCTGCCTGTTGAGCACCCAAGAAAGATCTCTTGAGTTCAACCAGCAAAAGCAAAGGAAAACCACCCACAAATCTCATGACTACAGAAATCGTCCGGATCTCTGCAACACCTCCATGGTCAGTTCAGCCAACGAACGTGCTTCCTCACTCTATGAAACAACCAGCGGTGTCCCATCCAACCAGGATGATTATATAGGCCATGTGATCATCTTTGACCCACCGTGCTGGCTTCAAGAACCACATTGGTTGTCAACATGTTAAGAACAAGAAAGAAAGCAAAAACATCATGTGCATGATCCTTTTGTGAAAGCATGTGAAAGCTACAAGTTCTTTCTCTCTTTTGCCATGCGAAGCTCGACGGCTGTTCTTGGGAAGGAACACGAACGCCCGCGCCGCCCGTGCCGCCCGTGGGGGTCGGTGACTGGGAACGAGGTCACCGAGCCACGTACCGAGCGTAACAACGTGTTTTTGTCGACCACAAAGCGACACAGCGACACTCCAAGACTTGATACTCTTCCAAGTATCTGAGACCAGTGAACACACCTTGGATCATCAATTTCAGCTCCTGAAAGATCTTGAATTTCCTTGGTCAGTGAGGCGCAGTGAGGCTTCAAATGGCTTCAGGGTAGCAGTTAGCAGGGTAGGCCGTGGTTTGCTGGCGGGCGGGGGGGCCACAACCCCCTGAAGAAAATGTGTTCTGGGTCTATTCTGGGTCGCTCGCAGCCATCAACCTCACATGGCTGAGGCTGAAACTTCGCAAACAACTTGAGAAGAATCCGTGGTTCACACCCAAATCAGGTGAGTTGACCAATTCAGTTGGCACGATCTCACCCAACAAACTCACCCAACAAATGGCCTGAGCACTTGACTCAGCACGGTCCGGCTCGCTTCGGCGAGCTCCAAGCGCTCTCCAAGCACTGGATGGATCCACTGCCACCCTTCTTTGGTACGGTGAGCAGGGAGACACTGAGGCTCCCTGGTCGGGTGGTCTTGGGGTCCAGTGGTACCGCACCTGCCCGACCTGTGGGGTGTCGTCACGGGTCCGATGAAGCAGCGATGAATTTTCTTCTCTCGACAGGGAGAAGAACGAACATGTTAGACAGCACACCGTAATGCATACCAACAGAGGTTGAAAGACCCTATAGGCTATCCCCTAGGTACCCCTGTAGTGTCCTATAAGGTCACTTAACCTCTGTTGGTACCCTTACAGGGTGTTTTGGGGCTCGTTGTGGCATTTCTACTCCCCCGGCGGCACGTTCCGCACTTGTCCGACCCCTGGAGTCCAACACGTCCGGAGAGGTCGATGCTGGTTAACCACGCCGCACGCCTGGCCTGCCAAGTCTCAAAAGACGAATGATACGCCCCAAACGAGCCAGCTTGAGCATTTTCAGTGCCGACACAGGACCTGTATCTGCTTGCCCACCTGCAACTGGGCGAGCCCACGAGTGACAGTTTGGGAAGCAGTGACGCGACCGCTGCTGAATCAGTGAAAGCAACGTGATTAGCAAATTATTTTGGCCAATCTGTGGATGCTCGCGATTTGCAACACTCAGCCTGAGCCCAAAGTGGTGTATACGATGCCCATGTCAATCAAAGCCTCAGATGGTTTGAATCGTTCCCTGCCTCGCGCGGAACACGTCCGCCGTGGGCCGTGGAAAATTGATAGGCTTTGATATGATTATATAGAAATGTAACTACAGAGCCACTTGGGGCCTCCAACTAGGCCTTCAACTCTGACAACTGCTACCTGCACTAATCAAGAGCAATACATTTGGATGAAAACGTTTAACACATAGATCAGCTGCGCCCTTGTTCCTACCTCCACCGATCAGCGTTCCCACATGGAAACCCACCACGTCAATGGCTTATGGCTTGTGTTCTTGGCCGAGATGGCTTGTTTTCGTCGACTTGGAATTGGAGACATGGTTCTCTTCGTACCCCTTTCTTGAATTTCATGTCGATCACATGTATCAAAAATATGGCCAACAACCCCGCTTCAAAGGGTACCGCTTTATCCATGGTGTTAGATCCAAGCGAGCCAAGAGAAAAACCAACTGAACCTACACAAATCCACATCAATAACCTGCAAATCTAATTTGCCAAACTTGACTTGCACACAGTTCAAACCTTTTTGCGACCACTGTGACGCCTCATCAGATTACAATGTGTTTTTCCCCATAGTGGTCCTCATTGATCACCCTTGCAGGAAAACTATGGAAAACTGTATCATTTGACAGGAATGCCGCAGGGTTTGCGCAGGGTGCGAAGAAGCCAATAAGAATGGAAGAGGTATTGTACTTTTTTACGTTGTGGGCTGCAGGCAAGGGGCTAGGACCACACACAAGATGTCGAACCAGCTCCAATACCTGGCTCATCGCATGCAAGTCTCGTGTTTCCAGGCAAAATCTGCGGTGATTTGCATGGACCAAAGCGATCCTGCCTGTAACTTGTAAGGGATTCTTTTATAATCCTTTATATACATCAAATGCCGCAGCAGCTTTTTCTCGACCAAAACCCACACGCCTAGGGGCTGCCAGTCAGAAAATCCTCCCTCCAGACCACGTTGTGCAAATGATGGGCCTCCAAAACCGTTCTGTTCCTTGGCTGATTGTCATACCAAACTTAAATATCTCTTATATAAATAGATATAAATAGGATGAAAGAGGAGACCACCTGGCGGTTGCCATGGACTGCGGACTGGACCTTTGCGCAACACCCGGCCATTTCCCGCGGTGTCCGGTCTCGGGGTCCACTGAGGCTGCCGGCCAATCGCTGCCAAAAAGGAATTCTCCTGGAACCCCGCGGTGTATGGGTGGCTGCTGGGTTCCCGGTTTGTTTTGTCCCGTTGAAAAAACGGGTATCGTAGCCCTCATTCTCAGAATACATGAATACCCCACTGGATGAAAACATTGACATTATACCGCAAAGCCAGTAGGCAAATTCATCTATATATACATATAAAAGCATTAACTCTCCCAACTCTCCTCCTTCACCAAGAAACACAGCATGTAAGACATTTATCGAAGACATCGGGCACCCACAAGATCCACCAAACGCGGATCTGAGGATCTGGTATAAGCCGTGTCTTTACAAACTGCCCCAGATGACAGAGGATCAATCCAGAAAGAGTGCTACAATGAGGAGCCTCTACAAGGAGTGGGTCATGTGAATGGCCACCTGGTTCATTTTCTTGCCACATAAACAATGTTGCAACCATGGGTGCTAGGCTGCTACACCATGTCTGCTAGCTTCAGCCACTATATAGGCACTTGTTTTTTAAAGATTCCGTTTGAGAGGTCTCAAAGTTAGGCACCTCAAACTCGCATGTTTGGCCAAAAAGGGTCACTTGAACGTCTTGAACCAGCTCTTAAGCCTTGGAACCTCCCAGAAAGACGAAACAACAATAAAACACAAGCACCTCACCTCGGCTTTCGAAGATGCAGAAATCATCCCTCAAGAAGAGTAGTGACCTCCCCCGTAGGTCCCAGCCCTAGGCGCCCCTGTCGGTTCAGCCAAAGATCGAACGCCAAAGAAAGTCATCCTCACAATCAGCTCTCCTGAGAACACTTTGCTAGCAACGTGATGTCTGAAAGTGGTTGAGCAACGTTGCTCTGAGAGCTGACCAACTATTTTTAAAACAAATACATGAGTATATATATATGATATAGAGTGGCTGATTATAACTATCCGATTCTGAAAATGCAAAAACTTGTTGCCTCATTCTTCTAGCTGTTGTTTTCTAACTGTCACCTTTAAAAGCAAAAGCAAAGCCAACTCAAAACTTAAAACCATTGTAAAGAAAACAGCCGGTCAAATCTACAAGTGCGGCTGGATTCCCCTGCTTCCTGGTTCTTTCATCCTGCATCTTGCTGCCGAAAAACCTAGGAAAAAAAGGGTGAAAATGGCCTCCAAGACGGTCCAGGCCTAGGCCGGTGTGGCAGGTTCTTGCAACCGCGAGCCGGCCCGGTGGAGCGATGATGGAGCCACGAAACGAAGCGATCGAACGGGGGCAACGGATGCAATGGATTGAGACATGACCTCTCTTTGTCAATGTAACGATTATGTGCCAAAGGATGCAGCAAATTGCCCAAATGCCCTTATACTGTAAAAACTATGTCAAATAGTGTCATATATTTTTCCTGGAGAGGTTTCTGGGCTGCATATGGCTGCCTTTTCTGGTTGCAACTGGCTGTCGGAGTCAGTCAATTAAATCAGTTTGATGAGTTCAAACTCAAGGTTCTTTGAGGTCAAGGGGTGGCTGGGGAGGAGCAACAGGTGGAGACAAATCCAGTGCCACGTACCCGGGAAGGGCAACCACACAAGGCAAGGCGCACCACTTCCCTCTAAATTAGGCTTTCCACTGTTCTAAGTGCATCAGTCTGCCTCACGATCTCAAAACAAACACGGCAACTGTCAGTGAATGAAACAATCCCGACATATAGCAACAATTCCGAATCATCCGAATCCACTTGCCCTCAGTTGCCACAACCGAACAATGAGATAATGAGGTTTGGAGAACCATTCCCAGTTCAAACCCACCCACCCCGGTCTCCCCGTCTCCCCCGAGCATGCCCCTCCCAATCCTTCCCTTCTCCTAGCGACAATGCCATCAGGATCGTTGTCTGCGCTGATGCCCGCGACTGCAGTGCTTGCCAGAATGACAATCGCCGGGATGATGTCGAGCAAGAGCCTCGGACGAGGCATGTAATGTAATGTCGAAACCTACCTAGTCAAATGGGAGGGGATAAAGAAACGGTTTTGCAAAACAGTGGTAATCGATAAAAAGTTTTTCCGAAGGCGAAATGTCAAAGCCTATTTTTCCTATTGTTCTGCTATTGTGCCTTTTAAGATCCTTGCGTAACTCTTCTGAGGTCTGTTTGATGAAATTCTTACCTGAAAATGCTTTGATAGAACCAGCTGAGTATATTGCACCAAAAAATGAGAAGGGTGTGCGACGAAGACGACGACGACGACGACTACTCTACGACTACGGCTACAACTACGACTGCGACTGCGACTACTGCTACTGCTACTCCTACTGCTACTGCTACTACTACCACCACCACTACTACTTCTACCACTACCAATACCACTCCTACTCCTACTCCTACTACTACTACTACTACGACGCCGACGACTACTACTACAGCTACTCTACCTACTTCCTATACTACCTATACCACCTATACTATACGACGACTACTACTACTACTACCACCACCACCACTACCTACTTGCTACTACCGACTACTACTACCTACTTACTACTACCTACTTACTACTACCTACTTACAACTACCTACTTACAACTACCTACTTACTACTACCTGCATACTACTTACTACCTACTTATACCTACTTACTACTACCTACTTACTACCTACTTACTACTTACTATTTACTATATACTTACTACTGCTGCTGCTGCTACTACTACTGCTGCTACATCTCTACACCTACTGCTGCTAGCACTATCACTATCACTATCTACTACTATCTACTGCTATCTACTACTATACTACGACGACTACTGCTACATGGTGGGCTTGACTCAATTTAGTCTCCCTGGATTGTTTTCTGGGGGGGGTTTTGCTAATTAAGCTACAACACTATGGGCGTGAGTGGAGGATGTATGCAGCGATGGCATGCGACGGCCAACGGCAGTGACAGCGATGTGGGCTGTGTGGATCCTTTGTTTAACATGGCTAAGCTAGGGGTTCTAGGGAGGGTTGGCGTTGTTAAGCTCCCAGCAACTGGTATATAGGCCAACTTGTGGCAAATCCTCTAGCAGTGTCCACAAAAAGGGAAGTAAAGAAGTCCAACAATCTCCCACGTGGGTTTTCGTGGGATCGAAGAATATGTCGTGTCCAATCGCTTTATCACGATGTTCAATGATGTTGTGATGTCTGGACTCAAAAAATCAGCTTCCCACACCAAGGAGTATCCTGGCTGTATCTGGCTGTGCTGTATCCTGCAGCTTCAAAGGCCCTCTGGAGTAGAAAGACCAGTTTGGTTGTGAACCCCGGTGGAGCCCTAGAGTGACCGCCACATCCGACGATGCATTCGACTTGGTGGCAAACACCCGCATGCAGTGAGTACTTGTCCATTCTACGTCACCCGGGATGGCTGAGGCACAAGAAGTTGGCGTTCTCCTCTGTCTCCTCAGATTCGTAATCCACAACCTGCACCAGGTTCACTTCTGGAAGTGAGGAGGGGACCCGGCACATTCCCAGACCATCCATCTATGGAATAAGTTACCTACATTGAGTCATAAAGGCGGTCAATGTAAGTTATAACTATGTCATTAAAGGGTATGGGATTAGTCAAACCACGTCAAACCCATTGGGTTCTAAAAAAATCCAGCCTTGGCAAACCCTGGAGCCTTGGCAGTGTATTCGGAAGGCTAGGGCGGATGAGCCAATCCCTCAAGCTGTACAAAGGATACAAAGGTATTTGATGTCGATCAACACAGTCCACGTTTGCATCAAGTCATGCAAACCCCAAACGAGCTGAGGGAGCCCTTCAAACCACACACCCGGAAAAAAAGAACAACTGCACGAACCATCGCTCTTGGATCAGGCTAGATCTGTCTGAACTGGCCAGCACATCTCATCTTCCCCAACATATTCGTGCTACAGTTCACCAAGCCTCTCGAGAGAAAAAGAAACTGAACTTCCCAGAAATTTAGGCACACACATATTCGAGAAATGACAATAAACTACAATAAAATACATCTCATCCGGTTCTTCCCTCTTCTCTCAAATCCTCTCCTTCTCTCCGACCTCGACCCGACCGGCCTTCCGCTCCTCCGCGCTGCCACTGGGCGTTCGCAGGTCTCGCAGGTTCCGACCCTTCCCGTTCAACGAGGGCGGTGGGCCTGGGCGGTCAATGGAACAGCACCAAAAGACCCTGGTTACTAGTAGCTTCTTGTTCCGAATAGCGATGGCCTCCAAC